TTTGTTTTACACAAGATAACCAAGTGACCCAAGCAGTGATATTGCTTCAAGTTTTGCCAAAGAACTTGGTGATACTCAGTCTAATGGACATATCTTCCTTTTCACATTATGGCGAGCTTTCAGCCTTGCTGTGGGCCTCTCTGTCTCTTGCTACTTGGAACCACTGTATTATAGGGAACAGCATTCTTTGTCTTGTCATCTTTGTCTAAAAAAATACTTTAACAAGAACCCAAGGTTTTGTTGCACTCAGTGACCTTCCTTGTCAGTGTCGGCTGACATGGTTCTTGTGAGGTCCAATTCACTTAGCTGATAATTAAGGCAGTAACCGGCGAAACAATTCCTGTAACATCTTTCGGATTTTTCCATTTAACCAGATATCGGCTGACACTTAAATTGCTATACTTGTAACTATTTGTGTTTATGTTGTGGCAAATACATATATTTCTCTTACTATGTACATACACATACATTTACACATTCTTAGAATTATACATCTCTACTCCACTTTCCTCCTTACTGCCATTAAACTCTCCTGAGGATTATAGGGTCACAGGTTCACCATGCTAACTGCTGCTGTTTCGGTTTCCATAGCAACTATGTTTTTATGGGATGGAGTTACCAGCTGGATGCCAAACTAGTTTTGAATTAAAAGTTGTCCTTCTAGACTGATTGCCAAACAAGGCTAGAAAACCCAGTCTTCTCTATTTAACCCATATCTGGAAGGTAAGAGATGAATTCATACCTTTTCCAATGTTATTTGTACAAAAGTGAATATAACAAGCTCAGTCAGAATATAAACTCAGTATGTCAATCCCAATTTTCATGCTGATAGCCACTGAACTATATGCGCATCTCTACTGGCCAAGTACAATTAAGAAAGTATGCCTTCACTTGAAATCTTTCTTTGTTATGAATTATGACTGATATCTCTCTATATCTCTGAGATGTAGTATTATGATTATTTACATTACTCAGACTGTTATCCTCATCTTCATCGCTATATTCATAATGTTTCAGCCATTGTATGCTCTGGCCTTCTTCATGTGACTGGAATTTCAAACCAAACCCTTTATTTCATCCACCAGGCCATGGCATGTGGAACTAGAACAGTCTACCCCAATGGACAAAATAAAGGGTCCCGTTCGAAATTCCAATCACCTGAAGAAGGCCAGAGCATACAACAGCCGGAACATTGTGAATATGACAATGAAGATGAGGATAACAGTCCAAATAATTTAAATAATTATGACTGATGTTTTCATATAGGCTCTCCCTTTCTTATAAGTGAACATTGAAGTTTGATATTCCTTTCATATCTTTTTGTTTTTCCTTCATTCATATTGATACATATTTATTGTTACATATCCTCTTACAGCTGTTCTTTCTTTATTTCTTACCAACCAATGTTTGTTTTAGCAATAATTACTTTTATCTATTGATTCTTAAGATAAGCATTCATATCAAGGATTATCGTTTTCTTTTACTATACATTCCCAAATGGCTTTTGACCTTGTTGTGTGCATATATTTACTCTCATATACAAAGAATAATGAATAGAAAACCTTTAATTATGTTGTTTGGTCAAAATGCAACAGTTGCTGTAATTGTAAATCCATGTTCAAGGAAAATGCTCAGATGAACTATATTCCCTGGTTCCACTGAGGCAAACCTTCACAGCAAGAATGTGCCATACCATTTACATAAGTAGAAAACACCACCCACATTCCCTCTATATTCCATCAGTGAGAAGTAAGTTTCACTCGAGCAGCTTCTTTCTGTGAAGTACTGTTCTGTGGAACCGACTCCCAACAGGATGTTTCCCCAATCACTACAATCTTAACCTGTTCAAGGCTAGGGTTAACCATTATCTTCTACTCCTATACACACAAATGGCATCCAAACATAACCCTCTACTTTATGTGGCCCCCGGGCCTTGTAAAGAGTGAATCTTGTTAGAAAAAAAAAAGGAAAAAAAAAGCTCCATAACTTGTACAATGATGCTGTCAAGATAGGATTCAGAATATGTTTGATAATTTTGTCACATTTGTCATAGAATTAGTCTTGTTTGATAACACTTAGTATTTAAATAGTTTTAATCATTACTTATTACATCTAAAAAGAACTCAGAGTAGTTAACTGGATAAGTCTTGGGCAGTTGAAAAAGTCATGGTAATTTATTAATGGACCAAAATGTTTTTTGTTTTTTTTTAACTTTAAGTTGTTTTTTTTAAATGAAAAACCTGTCTGATGCATTATTTTTTAATTATGAAGCAATGTGACATTTTTGTTTTTATCGTTGTACTTGTATGACATGTTTTCATTGATGAACTTATATCAGCTTTTTTTTGTTTTTGTTTTTTTGTTATTGATGGACGCATAGAGCATGTTTTTTAATGATCAACCTATATGACATTAATGACGGACATATAGGACGTTTTTTTAATGATAGACATATAGGATGTTTTTCTTCTTTTTTTTACTGATGAAGTAATATGGCATGTTTTTTTTTCTTATTGATGTACTTGGATAACATATTTTTATTGATGGACCTATATTAGGTTTTTTTTTTTTTTTAGTGATCAACGTATGTGGCATATTTTTAAAAGTA